AGTTAGCCTAATATGTCATTAAGCAAACAAACGCTGGAGTTAATATTTGATATGCCAATTTTCGCTAATTTTAGACACATTCCAAAATATGCTCCCCATTTTTAACATTAATATCTCCGTGAATTTTTAAGTTAAATACAACTGTAATATATCAAAATCTAAGTTAGTCCTTCCTCTATTTAATGCAAGTTATTTCTCTTTAAAAACTTTATTTGTTTAGAAGTTATTACGAATCAAACAGGAGTACTTTTTTTTGGGCCACCCGGTATATATATATATATATATATATACATATATATATATATATATATATATATATATATATATATATATATATATATATATATATATATATATATATATATATATATATATATATACCGGGCGGCCCAAAAAAAAGTACTCCTGTTTGATTTGTAATAACTTCTAAACAAGTAAAGTTTTTAAAGAGAAATAACTTTTAAATTCACGGATATATTAATGTTAAAATTGGGGAGCATATTTTGGAATGTGTCTAAAATTAGCGAAAATCGGCATATCAAATATTAACTCCAGCGTTTGTTTGCTTAATGACATATTAGGCTAACTTGTATTTCAGCGAATTATCGTTAAGGTTTGTAAGGGATATGGCGTAGATTTAGACATCTTACATGTAAGTCTTGGCTCATTGTTTCCTGAAATATGAACGTTCGAAATTATGCAAGTATTTAATATTAGGTCTTTGCAAACTTAAATGTACATGAAAGACTGACCATGGAAGGCAGGCGCTTAAATTTTTCGTATTCTTAAATAGCCTAATTTTTTTATGTTTTTAATGAGTTCAAACAGACTGAGTAGATTATTTCTCGGTTAGAGCAGGATGAATATTCTTTATTGAAGGAAATAATATTGCTTTTTGCAAATACACATCACCATATCAACGCTACTATTTTGTTACGTTTTGTTCCAAAAATGTTGCATGTCTCTGGGGAGTTGCTTAATTGTTATGTCTTATGGAGTTGTATGGTTTGATTGTGTTTCATATAATTCTCAGTTTACTCCATGAACTTGCCAAGATTAAGAAACGGCAAAAGAGTTTAGGTGTTCTTAACAAGATTTCAGAACGTTGCAGAAGTTAGAAGAGCTTCACAATTCCGTTGTGACAGCATGCCCTAATTCAGAACTACGAACGATCCAATGACGATCCTTCGCGATGCAGTGGTCTCATGAAATAAGGAAACGTATTCGTGCTAGGAACACACGCGAATTTCAGACGAATGAATCTTGCTTGTATTTTGTAGATATAATAATACTTTGTTTCATAATAAACAATTTGTCAAGTGTCATTTATTTACTGGTAATAGTGCATGTTTCAGTCGGGCAAATCTTGATTAATATTTGATACGCCGATTTTTTGCATATTTCAGACACATCCAGAAATATCCTCCCGAATTTAAAGATTAATATCTCCGTGAATTTTTAAGTGAAATACAACTGTAATATATCAAAGTCTAAGTTAGTCCTTCCTCTATTTGATGCAAGTTATTTGTCTTTAAAAGCTATACTTGTTTAGATGTTATTACGAATCAAACAGGAGTACTTTTGTTTGGGCCACCCGGTATATATATATATATATATATATATATATATATATATATATATATATATATATATATATATATATATATATATATATATATATATATATATATATATATATATATATATATATATATATATATATATAATAATGAAAATGTTCTAGAGTGTGTATTATATAATTTCGATATACCCAGCGGAAGCAGAAAGATGTTGTCTGGCGCGGCTGGGTCTTGAACCCGCGACCTTCGAATTACTAGATCGACGCTCTACCAACTGAGCTACACGGTCAGACGCATTTAAGACTGGAAATTATGAAATATATACTGAATGTCATAAACATACTCGTTTATATTAATTCAGCATCGAACAATACTAGTTCTGCAAGTGTTATGTTAATTGTGTAATCGTACACTCTGTAATATGTTAAGATGAAAATGTTCTAGAGTGTGTATTATATTATTTCCATACCCAGCGCAAGCAGAAAGATGTTGTCTGCCGCGGGTGGGTCTTGAACCCGCGACCTTCGAATTACTAGATCGACGCTCTACCAACTGAGCTACGCGGTCAAACGGATTTAAGACTGGAAACTATGAAATATATACTGAATGTCATAAACATACTCGTTTATATTAATTCAGCATCGAACAATACTAGTTCTGCAAGTGTTATGTTAATTGTGTATTTGTACACTCTGTAATATGTTAAGATGAAAATGTTCTAGAGTGTGTTCTACAATATATATATGTATATATATATATATATATATATATATATATATATATATATATATATATATATATATATATATATATATATATATATATATATATATATATATATATATATATATATATATATATGTATATGTACTATTTAAAGCACGCGCGTATAGGAGTGTTTTATCACATATAAAACACGAAGCGTAGCGGAGTGTTTTATATGTGATAAAACACGACTACAAGTGCTTTAAATAGCTTAAAAAACGACTCATCTTATACGAGTTTAATATAAACTTTATCTAAACCGAGAAAATCAAAGCTAAAGTTTATGTAAATTAACATGATTTTTTATCACATATAAAACCACGACACGCTTATGATTTTTCTTTGTGTTTTGCTCCTGAATTATTAATGAGTTTTTTAAATGTATATATGAGGCGCAGCCACGCGTTTTATATCTAATAAAACACGACAACGAGTGCATATATATATATATATATATATATATATATATATATATATATATATATATATATATATATATATATATATATATATATATATATATATATATATATATATATATATACATTCAATATATAGTATACCAATCTCAATCTGCATGGCATTAAAGTTAACATAGTAATGCCACAGAATTAATATACTGTGAGGAAATTTTTGAGACGCCCAGTATTTTTGGCCATGTTAATTGATTATTCCCATTAATCTCTGTTCTATAGAATGGAAAATGCCGCCAGGAAATATTGGATGATCGTGATATTAATATATTGAAGAAGTATGATGTCATTGGTATGACCGTTACCGGAGCTGCCACTCGATTACACTTGTTGGGTAAGTGCTTTCTATGAATGTAATTTAGAATTTTTTATTTCTTATTATTTAAAACTTTATTTCATCAGGGTAACACATGACATTAAGTAACACTACTGATAATTAAATTATTTTACAGATCAAGTTAAGTACGATCACCATAACATCACTACGGTGCGCAAACGCGAAGTTAGGCATTGCTTTGCTCAGCAGCATGGAAATGAAACACGTGTGTAATAACATATACATATGTATGGAGAAATTCAGTACATAAATAAGATTAGTCCAAGTAAATTATGCTTGTGTTTTTTTTATGTTAATAACTGCGCATTTTGAAAAATTCGTTAACTTGTAAAGTTTCAATGCACTCATGCATTATTTGAATCCTATATGCTGACTGTTTAGAATAGAAAGCGATGAACAGAAAATCCGAATAGGTGCATGCATTATGCAAGGCCTATGAATTCAGGAAGAGAACGCAAAAACAGGATGGAAATAAGTGTGATATTTAATTTCGATTTTACTTCTTAGCCTTAGTCCGGGGCGAGGGTACTAATTCCCCCTGCTATTTACACTCGGGAAAAAGAAAGCTTTAGCCAAGTTCATAAAGTTCATTAATAGGCAGATTTAAAAAAGACGACGCGAGCTCAAAGACGACGCAGATGTCGTCATTTGGCGCCAACTGTCAAGCTTCTGGTTTGCGACGTCGTCTTCAACGATTTAACGACGTGAAAATACAATTTTCAACAATTTTCACGTCCTCTTTAGAACTCACAGATTTATGCTTAATAAAAATCAATTTTTCTGTTTCTAATGTGTGGCATGTATTGTTTAATCATTCTGATTAAATATATTTTAATGACAAGGTTGTTTTTGTTGTATTTCACTAAATTTTGGACGTGTTGATTTGTCGTCATAACAAATCAACAAAACTGCAATCATTGTTAATAACCACTTCAATACCGCTAGTATTCTTCACCAAAACAAACATTATAGAACAAACTGAACTGAGCTGAAGTTATAATAACAAGTGCTTGTTTAAAATCAGGAACACTTGGGAAGATGGAAGAATAAAAGCACTTAAAAGCAGTAAAAACTCAATCAATTTTAGTTGCTCTGTCACAATGGTGCAAAAAAGTAGTACAAGTAAAAAAACGCTTTCCAGCCTGAAAAAATATCGTAAACAGTATTAAATTGTATCAATATAAACAATGATGCAATATTTATACTGAAAGTTTACAAACTTGATTGAATATTTTATAAACTAAAGCATTTAGTTCGTAAACAAGACCTGCTGCTTTTGTATTTGTTCCAAATGATGCGACAAAGTTCACATTTCAAACTACCGAAATATAGACCAATTGCGAAACTTAGTGACCGCGCCTTAAACTGCACGAAAACGAGGCTTATTATGCAAAAACAAATCATTCTGCTATATTTTTATATGGCGAAAGATGAATTTCAGTGTTTGAGACGCGTTTTTATGGTAATCTCTTCATTTTTATTGCATGCCCATATATGGGCATGCAACTTTCATACAGCTCTAAATTTCGTGTCGCGGTGTACGTACGGGCGGTGGTAAATCACGTGACAGATCGTAAAATACGACAAATACCAAGTTTTCCGACCATAGTCCGACAATGTGAATCAATATGCACGTTTTCGTTCACGGCTTTTGTCGAGGAAAGAAATACTGATTTTCACTGAAAATTTACGTAATTTAGCGCCTTAGAAAAATAGATCGAAGTAGGTAAAGCTTTGCTGTTTTTAATTTACCTTATATTGCTTTGTTATTTGTTGTTATTTTGCAGCCGTTGTGCTCGCACTGAGTATTTATCCCAGGCTTATATATCGTGAAAGGCCACGGCGCTATGAAAATGCTCGTTTTTATATGCTCAAATTGAATTGTGTTCGCACTGATTATATTGTGTACGAAACTACAGAGTACAATACATTTTTGTAATTAACATGGAATATATTATGAAACAAAATTCTTATTGACATTTAACACTATTGAAACTTCAACGAAATTGTATTCTACTTCGCCAATTTCAATCATGGTCGAGATCATATAGTTTAATAATTATTTTCAATCTACTGTGGTAATTCACCGTTTCCACGGGTTTTTATGCCTTCAAAAGGCCACGATAAAGCTAAATTTGTTTAAATTTGTAGGAAATATTAAACATTGTTTACTAATACTTCATTGACCTTCATTGGCGCCTAATTGTTACTACCGTCTTTTGCAACTACCGATGAACAGTAGTCTCATAAAAACATTGCCTATTCGTGTGAGAATCCAAGTTTTCTGATTTTGACATAATAGTTATTTTTCAATAAATATATTGATATTACAGTCAAACCGGATGTTCTCTTGCGAGCAACATTGCAATATTGTCCCACAATATTGCAATTTTGATCGACATATTCCTCTGAGCAATTTGCAACCGACGCGAACAAATTGCAAGTTGAAATTCACAAACGATTTGTAAACAAAGCCTCTGCATGATTGGACTATAAGAAAAAGGGAAGCCAATCAAATAGTCTGAGAGACTGGATTGGTGCTTCCCTCTTTCTTATAGTCCAATCAGAGGCTTCGTTTTCAAATCGTTTGTGAATTTCAACTTGAAATGTGTTCGCGTCGGTTGCCAATTGCTCAGAGCAATCTGCCTATCAAAATTGCAATATTGTGGGGCAATATTGCAATTTTGCTCGCAAGAGAACATCCGGTTGGACTGTAAACTTATTGAATCAATATTTTAAGTTTCATGCCAGTTGTACCAAAATTTATAGGCGCATGCGCACAAGAAATGTGGATTTTCATGCAGTGCATAATGTCGTGTGATCGACATTTTGCAATCACTTTCTTTTGAAATACAAGCAATCAAACGCAACGGATCAGGTTGACTGAACGCATTTCAGAAGAAAGTGATTACAAAAACTTGATCTCGCGATATTTTGCACTAAATGGGAATCGGCCTTAATAGGTCGTGGGCCGTTGGCCAAAATTATGTCGCTTCGTGGCAACCCCCTGAGGAATATATTTTCTGTAGTTCAATGCATGGTAATATAGATGCTCTACCACAAAAAGTTTCCAAGCAAAAAAGTTGCCAAAAACCGACAGCAAGAAAATGTGAAATTTTGTATTCAATTACAACAAAAATGACTTGCATCAACCGAAATCTTACAAAAAACTGCATATATGACTTTTAAACAGTTTTTGATCCTTCAAATAGTCTTTGAGTTATTGCTGTTTTAAATATGAAAACTGGACCAGAATGTTGCAATAAGAAATGGTTATACTAGATCAAAAATGCGTGTTTGATAGCGTATAACTCGAATACAATTTGAGATATATAAAAACTGTTTAAATGTCTTAATGTAGGTTTTTGTAAGCTTTCTGATGATGCTAGTTATTTTTCATGTAATTGAATATAAAATTTCACATTTTCTTGCTGTAATACAATTTAATAGAGAATAACATGATCGCCCATTTTCTTGGGGTTTGGCAGTTTTTTTGCTTGGGAACGTTTTGTGGTAATTGAGCATATATGGTACTATGCATTGAACCACAGAAAATCTATTTTCTAGGGGATTGCCACAAAATTGCTTTTCTAAGCACTTTTTCGCACAATGGCCCACGACCTATAAGGTTTTGGAGGCATGCAACATGTACGCACTGCGTACCTATTTTTTTTCAATATTTTTGTTTTGACTATGTAAATCTTCATTACACTTGTTCATAGATTTACACCCGTATTCTAAAATCTCACTCACACTCAATGAGTGGAGGTTCAATCTGAGGTTTTCTTGAGTCTCAATGCTGCTTTTGAATAGCTGAAAGGTGAGTAGTCACATAGTAAGGTACGACACTAACTCTCCAGCTTTTCAAAAACAGCATTGACAATCAAGAGAAGCTCAGATTGAACCTCCACTCATTGAGTGTGAGTGTGAGTGTGCTTTTAGAATACGGGCGTTAGTCATACTTCAAATTTCATTGTTTTTTGCGGCGTGCGAGGCAAAGTTTTGCTGTTTTTCGCCGTCCGATAAAAGAAGCAGATTATACCATTATTGGTCTATACGGCTTTTTTCCGAAAAAAGTTTATTGAATGTTCACACAAAGTCTTCAGGAAACATTTGGCTAGTAATGCGGTATGTAGCCTTTTCTTGCACATATTTTGACGAATGATTGAAAACAATACAGTAATGAGCAGGTAACAAGAAAACAAAATTTACTTCGAAAAAGACAAACTGCCGCCACAGATTAAAACCAGGAAGTGAACACGAGTGCATACGTCATTTTCACGTCGTCTTATACGTCGCGTCGTGTTTTCTAAAACTATCTAATAATCGAGGGCGCGTGACTTTGCATAGTTCATGAGTGGACCTCCCACTGATCTTAAAAATATGGCTGTTTGGAAGGAGTACGTTAAGCAAGATTTCAATTTTCAGTAACTTACATTTGGAAATTTTTTCATACAATGAGCTTTGAAGCAATTTTTGGTTGAAAAAATAAGAAGAATTGATATACTGTGGAAAATCATGTAATAAAGGCTTAAAATATTAAAGCAACAAAAAATAAAATTTACAAACAACAAACATATGCACTGCTTTCCTTCCCCATGAAGCTATAAATTTCCTAAATTACACTCACTTTTTAATTTATTAATTAAAATGAAATTGAGAGCAAATTAATTTGAAGATCGAACTTGAAATTACGCAACAATTTGATCTTATTTTGTTGTAGGGTCAGTAAAAACAGTTTATCGGCAACAGCAATTTCAACTTTTAATAGTTGAATGAACATTTCATACGATTCAGGTTAAATTTTGCATTAAAAAGCAAAATAACATCAAAATGCAAAATAACCTACCTACAGTACATATTTCGGAAATTAATTGTTGTATAGTTAAAAGTAGTAATCTTTCAATTGTTTTGGTGTTTTGTTCAAAAACTATGATAAAAATAAAAAATTGTTGGCCAATTGCTTATGCATATTTTCTTGCTCAATCCAAGCTCAATCCATAGATTCTATTGCTGTCGCATGCACCTATTTGGATTGCCATTTATCCTTTTCCGGTCATAATCATGATTTGTATTAAAGATTATGCTTAACTATTTTAGATCAGCTTAAACCATGCGCTGTGATCGTTGAAGAAGCTGCAGAAATAATCGAGGGTCAGTTAGTTTCAGTCCTCCCACCCACTATACAGCACTTGGTAATGTTAGGAGATCAAGAGCAACTTAAACCTCGTGTAGATTGTTACAAATTGGCAATAGAAAAAAATCTTGACTGTTCTATGTTTGAACGATTGATAAATAACAAGATGCCGTTTAAACAGCTTGGACAACAATGTCGAATGCGAGATGATATTGCCGATGTTCTTCGGTCACTAAACATATACAAGGATTTAAAGACAAACAATGAGGTAGGACGCATTTTCCTTCAAATTTGTTGTAAGTTTTCAAAAACGTAACTTAAAATATTGACTATGATCCAAACAACTTGCATTCGTCAACAATTACATCCATTACATCCATTTATTAAAATGTAAGTATATTTTCCTCAGGGTGACAATTTGGTAAAGAGTAAATAAAGAAAAGAAGCATACTCCATAGTTAATTAAGCTAATACACTGTATTATTTCGGTGTTATTACAAAGCAGTTATAGCAATGCAGAATTGTACTTATGAATGGTAGGAATGGCCTTTATTTCTAGAAATATAACCGTTAAACCTGAATATCACCGTATTTAAGAATTCACTCTGATTTTTCCTTTTTGCATTATCTACAATCATGGCAAAAATTCTGTGACCTCTTAGCTGTAAACTAAATTGTTTCTGTTCATATACATATACTAGCATCTTTGCATATATGCCCCCTTCCCTGTTTAATGTTGGTTTTGACATTGTATTTCACAAAGATTTAACCTAACCAATTTTTAAGCTTTCAACATTGAACTGGGTTAAGGCAATTTGGAAATGGCTATTTTTGCAAGGATATGATTGGGCAAGGAAGGAATTTTTATTTATGCACGCGCTATACACAATAATTTTGCGGGATTGTATGTAGCTTAGTTGTAATCTTATACCAAATTTCGGGGCACACGTACCAGACCATGACCGCGTAGCCTTATGGGTTAATCCGCCCCATGTAATTTTCTATATTTTTCTTACAAAAGAAAACCTGCAATAATGAACCACCTGACTGCATTGGACGTAGCCTTTATTTCGTCAAACACACTGCACCTGAAGCACGGATGACAGGATCAAGTAGCTTGTGTAACCACAAAGAAATTCGCCTGATCTTGGACGTCGCCGTGTACTTGATAAAGAACGGATATCCTCCAGTTGACGTGACAGTGCTTTGCCCTTACCGTGGACAGGTATTTATTTGTTTAAGCAATTTAGCAGACGATCTGTTGTGCATTTTTGGATGTTTGCACCCTAGTATACTATTTAATTGTATAGGTCATTTCTACCATGCCTACAATACATGTAGCAATTCCCTGGAATTGATTAATTATTATTTTCTTCGATCATGACGCCAAAAATTGTTCACAAAATACATATTTTGAAATATTCAAATTTATTCATCATGCACATTCACTTTTCCAACAACCTGCGCTACAACTGCGGTAGACTAGGGGTAACCACAGGTTAAAGTGCGACCATTGTATAATACTGCAGTACTGTATAACAAAGCACAATGACCTTACTTTGACTTTGTCTTGTTTAATGTAATCCCCGAGTTAATCCGGGGCGAGGTTATTAATTCCGCCCGGCTATTTACACCCGGGGAAAGGACGCACTAACGAACATAGAGATTATAAATAACACTAGAGGAGGCATCGAGTTTCAAAATCGGGAACGCAGCTAATGGGGGCAAATTCAAGTCCCGGATATAAAATCGAGCTCTCATTGGCTGATTTGAAACTCGTCACTAATGGGAACATGAATACACATCCGGGACTTGAATTTGCCCCCCCCCCCAAAAGCCGCGTTCCCTTTTTTTTACTGAATTAAGATTACAATGCCTGCTCTAGTGTTATTTATAATCCCTATGCTAACGAAGCCTAAAGTTCATCAAATATGGTGGGCACATGGCTATGATCCAAGGGTGGACCTCCTCACTGATCTCAAAAATATGACTGCTTGCCTGGAGTGGGATAAGCACACTGAGGATATTAAAGCAGAATTTCAATTTTCAAAAGCATATAATTATTTAGAAAATCACATTTCACACAATTGTATCAATCACCCTATGTCCTTGCGATAATTTCAGTGATTTCTATTTGGTTGGAATATAATTCACTAACGCCGTACACAAATGCATGTACGCTTAGCATACCTATATTTATTGCAAAGGCTAACCACATGTACGCAGGCGTACCTATTTTTTGTATAGCCAAACACATCACTTCATGTGACTGCTAATTATAACTAACCAATCATGTGCTTGGTACAAATTTTGTACCAGAGGTTCTCTTCGCCTCGCGTAAATTAAATAAGAGCGGGAATAAGGGGGAAGATACGAGAACCTCTGGCAACCAGGGTACAGATTTCCCAATCCGAGTGCCAAAAACTGCCCCAAGTTTGCCCCACTTAGATATGCCTAATTATTGCGTCTTCAAACTGAATTATTTGCAACTTACTGTAACTGACAGCGAATTTAAACCGATACAGGTAAAAGAAACTCATTTATAGTATAAACTTACTATTTTTATTTGTGTACACATCTAGAAAATCGGGGTTTTTTTATCATAAAGTTTGAAACAACACTATTAATGTTGACAAGGTGTAGCGGAAGCACAAAATGAGTCAAAATATATACCAGACGTAGAATCTTTCCTGAAGTTTTGTCTTATACATAACTATATATTAATATATATTTTCTCAATTTTGGCAAGAATCAACCTTGTGTTTGTGAAATATACGCATATACAATTATTAAATACTGAAAACGGATACATATATTATTAGCCCATACAGTGTATAAAACGTACATTGTTTACAAATGGTATATCCATAATATTTGAACAATAGTGTCAAAATCCTCATTCCCGATCCGTAAATAATTGTTCAAAGCAAAACAGTAGATTGTCTTGCGATTAAAATAATTATTTCGAGAATCGAGTATAATATTTCATTGACAAAATTGTTGGAACTTTAGAGATGTTTAATACAATTTAACGCGACATTTATAAACTAATTTAATCAATAGGTTAGTTTAGTCATAGCATGTTTTTATAGGTAATGTAATAACTACTGGACGGTATAAATTGCTTTAGTTGTTGGTCTCTGATCAAGAAGTTATGGGGCTAATTTGAGAACTTGTGAAATCGACTAGGCCTTTACGAGATAAATGGCCATTGCGATAATTACCAAATGCTAGCCCGGAATTGACCAAACCTGCCAAAGATACCTGCTAAAATCAGCGAGTAAAGGCCTAGGCTAGGCTGACAAAATTCATAAAATTTCAAAGCAAACTTGTCAAACAATTCTTCTCATTTCTTCAAACAAAAACTGCTCAAAACTCGTGTATGAAACGATTTTCCAAATATATGTCTTTGAAAATTGAAATCGTCTTAATCCCACTTCTGGCAAGCAGCCAGGAGGTCCATTCATAAACTATGAACCTTGACACCTCTTTAGACATCGCTAATGCTTTCCTTTCCCCTGGTGTAAATATCCGGGCGAAATTAGTACTCTCGCACCGGCCTTATGCTCGGAATGGCGCTCCGCGCCGTTGGCTCGGGGATAAATATGTGGCCGACATATTCAAATCACACTTGAAAAAAGAAGTGTTTACCAATAACCGATCCACTATTTGTGCTGAACAACGACATCCGCCATCTTCACCAATGAAGTACATAAATTTGTACTCAAAGATATGTGTCCTATGGATGTGGGAAAACTAATTTAATTTAATTACACATCTTTACCCTCGTTTTAAAATATCATTGCTTCCCTATATACCGTGTTAACTTAAACCTAACATACATACGTTTTCTTAATTTTAGGTCGATAAAATGAAGTTTGCCTTTAAAATAAAATCGTCAGATCCAAGTGAAGAGTATTTTATCAAGTTGAGAGACATCAATATTACAACTGTGGATAGTTTTCAGGCAAGTAGAATTTAAGAATGTTCTGTGTAAATTGATACAGAAGAATTAGCCTTACTCACGCCATGCGCTAATAAGCCTTGCTTGCTGTATTCGGATGGTGAACCGCACGGGGAAAATAGACGGCAACAAGTGAAAAAAGAATTTTGTGAAACACACATCTATTGCTTATATGTATGTACTATTTAATTCATGGAGTACAATTTGGTCTGAAATCACACTCTTGATTACAAACAATCGCATGACCGCGAAGCAGCTGAAGTCGGATTTTGGCGATTTGTGATTTCCATTATATTATATTTATTTTGAAATCTTAAACATTTTTGAAAACCAGAAATTCTATTTTTGTTTACAAAAGACTCCTCCCTGTGATGCAGTATGCCGTAGCGTAGCAACACATGAATAAGATATCAAGTTCATTTGAAGTTTAGTAAAATCCTATAACAAATTGTACAAAATATTCACGAAATTTACGGATATTATATAAATTATGATAGGTTCTATTATATGATAGGTTCTATTGTAAGTAACTTGACGGAGTTTTGTGTGGTTTTGTGTATTCAAGTTAACGTACAGTATGAATTTAATACCTTGTTTTGCTTGTCGATTTAAAGCTGATTTTCATGTTTTGTTGACATTTTCACCATGTTTTACAATTTTTGCCCCTGCCCAATATTTCTATCATTATTTGTGAAATTTTTTTCCAATTTTACCTATTGAACTATTGCAAACCTAGAATTATTATTTATTCGAGGAATTTGTCAAATCTTATTTTTTCTTAAAATTTATTGGCTAGTTGAATTGTATACTTTGATTTGATTGGTTGATTTGGAAGGTCAGCACTTGTTTATGATTGCGTGGTTGAAAAATGAAGCGATGCGATACTCAAGCTGATGCGAGCAATTTGGAAGTTGCACTGATATGATTGCATGCGTTTGTGCTGAAATCGCACTGCTAAGAGCCTAACAGGTTCCTTGAAACATCGTTGATTTCAAACTTAATGTAATGAAGAAGAAAATGTTTCTATATTATGAATAACTGTTTGCCATGGAATTTATCTGAAACAACGTAATGTACAGTCCGTCATCAAAGTCATCAGGAAGAATGGACTACATTATCTATACAGTATAATATATATAGGATATTAGACGGTTGCGAAGAGATATGGATTTTATGTTCGAGTGGCAAAAACAATATCTCACGAGTGAGCGCAGCGAACGAGTGAGATATTGTTTTTGACACGAGAACATAAATCCATATCTTCTCGCAACCGTTTAATGTTCTGTTTATTATATGGACTTACTCAGAGTGACAAAAAGACACACAAAGACGACATGTAAATAAGCACGCGAAAGACTAGTATAAAAGCGATATTTTTTAAAATTATATAGTGCAAACATAAAACTAGAATAAATTTTACTTATCTCAAGATGTCTTTTAAATGTTTTCGTTTTATTTCCAACGTTAATTTCGTTTTATATACGAACCAAAGACCATTTGTATTTTCAAAACAACAACAATGATAATGGCGGGAAATTTTCAGAACTTCGTATGTCACTAGCAGGGGTGAAATACGGAAAATACGCGCACCTGGCCCCGGATGTAGTGACGTATGAGTTCTACGAGTGTTTTAGTTTCCAGTAAAACACCATTGTCCATATAATAAATGGCATTACACGTGAACACCCGCTCTTAGGAAATACCAGAGTCAGTGGCGGAGCCAGGCCTCAAAATGGGGGTTTGAGGGCAAACTCCTTTTTTTTGGGGGGGGGCGGGGGGAAGATAGAATTTTTAAAAAGGTACTGCTATTTGCCCATGCCGTTGTCACAGGACTTTTGCCTCCACCCCTCTTAAAAGGGGGGCGAAAATTCCTAGGAATATCGCCACCCATATATGCGATGTGGTTTATTCAAATAATTTCGTGATACTTGCATCCTATTAGTGCCTTAACGTTTGAGAATTTAACTCTGCAAAACTAAAGCTTTTTTGTCTTTGTTTTAAACGTATTATTGGAGTATTGGCAAGTTTTAGCATTCAGAGATTTACAAACTAATATTGAAACTGTAAAAAACAGTTTCATATATACGCGCATTCAGTAATGACAACTTATAAGCCATACATTGTCCGATAACGACAAAACGCTTGTGTACCCTTTAGTCGCTCTCAGTGATAATAATTTTGGGGAGGATGGGGGCAGAAATGGTGTTGGGGATTTTTTGCCGTATATTGTTTTTATATGTTTTTGAGATTTGATTCACATGAGAACCGAGCTGGTCCAGTTAATTTGCCAGGCTCCCGTTTGAGCGAGGCGAGATCTTGCCTTCCCTGGCTCATATGAACACACTTAGCGGGCCAGCCTTGCCAACCGGGCTGGTAATTGTGTCACAACGCATGCTTTATTCTATCTAAAAAACGTATAAGGATTTTAAAAATTAAGAAATATTAAAACTTCTGAAGCAGTCTCCATAAATATAAAAATAGCATTTTTCAAAATTAAAACAAATATCGCTTTCCCACCAAGAATCGTTTGGGAATTTCTTATAGCGCTTGCCAAGCTAGCCCGCCTCATGTAAAACAAATAGCAAATTGGCCCATATGGCTCATATGAACAAGCCCTGGATGGTCACCTTAGTTTGGCCAGTTTGTCATTTTTTTTTCATTTAAAGCACTAAAAGAAAACTATTTGTTCCTGTTGATTCTTACCTTAAACAACACCAGTTTGTCAACTCAATCTAGAAATCCCTGTTTGTTGAGAACAATACTTGGAGCCAGGTTATAGCCCGGCGCCAATATTAATCTGAAAATATATGAAGGGAACATTTCAGGCATTGTCTCAGCGCAGCTGCGCTAATACATCTTCCGCCCTTTACAAACATGTTACACAACTGAAGCTCATTAACCCCATTAAAGAGCTTGCACCACTCTCTTCTTGAAGTGTGAAATTGTCTGGCATTAGGCAAAGTAACACAACAGTATAGGGATGCAGTTGGGCACATTGGAAGCTTTACAATGGTTTAAGATGAACACTCTGAAAATATCACTTTCAATGCTGTATAAATTATTCTGTAATTCTAATCCTTAGGGACGGTCATTAATAATGGGGGGCGGGCGGCGGTGGGTGATAAATTCCAAATATCGATTTTTTTTAAAGCCCGATCGCAAGACCTTTATTCCCCCCCCCCCTCCACTCCAACATTTAATTCGTTACATTTTTAGTGTAAAATGAGTAATGGGTCAAGTACTGGTGTAAGACATTGTGTAGCCTAAATAATTAGAGGACCAGTATTCACAACGGTTGTTTTTTACTCCGACTCTTATGGTGAACTGCATAAACGTAACAAATTATCGAAACTATGATTATAGAAACTAAAAAATGTGAAATATTTTGTGCGATACGATAAAGGTGAGAGATTGAAAATGAGTGGGAAAGTATTAAGAAATTGGGGTTGTGCCTTGTCATATATTTTTCAGTTTGAGATCGCCCGCAATACAGGCAAAAATAGTTGAAGCCGCCACCCTTTTCTCCCCCCCCCCCTCACATTATTAATGACCGGTCCCTTATTCATGTATTAAAATGCTAACATATCTTTAAAGGCATTCGAATGTTTAACATATTATTTCATATCGTTATGTTTATATATTATACCCTTGACAAAGGTCTAGTAGAGCGCCAAATTTAATATGCCAAGGACAATTATTGCTAAATTGTTAATAATAGTGCATTGGTGCGTAATTAATACAGAATTTACTATAATGGATTAATCGAATTGGTATTTTATTATTTCTTTCCTTGCCAGAAACGAACGTTTCGTATTTTTTTCGCAAATTGAACGCGGCAAATTCAAACAGTCAACGGAATTTTGGACACATGGGCCATGGCTCAAGACTCAAGTAAACAATCACATATTATTCACTACATTCCTTCGCAATTAAAGTGCTTAACAATAACAAGTCAAAATAAAAATATTCTTCCCTGTGAGATCTGAATAACATTTTTTAATACCTTTCCGATGCCTTTTCCATCGTTTGGGTTTGAAATTTTCATAAGTTAATTGTAAATATCAACTGGAATTCAGTTAACACAAAAAAATTGGAAACGACGCTATCCCGTGAACCATCGCGCTCTGACACGTAAACTAGGCACCAGGCGCCCAGACAATGCGCGAACTATTGCTGCTTATTGCTGCTTCTTATCATGTCTGTCATATAGTTGCTGACAAATATTACTAATATTTACAAATATTTTCATTCAGTTACTGACTGTTAATTTTATCTGTAATAGATTATCGAAAAATCATGAAAATTCGCTGCAATATTCAATAAAACATGAAAAGAACTCAAACTTTCGGATGTAAATTAGAATGTATAGTATGGTATCAGGAGCGACGAAAAGTGGAGGCAAGATCTCCTTCCCTGCAGGAGGGGGACAAATGTAGCATTTTAAAGTGGAGGTCAAGTCCGTTCTGCGCAGCGGTTCTGCTCATATGTAAACATTGCCCAAATTTCGCTTGAATGTAACATTGCCCAAATTTCGAATGTTTCGAATTTTCAGAATACATAACTCTATTTCATATTCATTTAGAAGCATAGCGAACCAAAATGGTGTTAGATATTCAGACAGTGCATCATATTTTTAAAAAATACAGCAGTTCAAAATGTAAACAAACCGTTTGTTTACATACGGACTTGACTTCCACCTTAATATAAATAAAACACAATATTTTCTCCCAAATTTACTTTAATAAATTAAATAACAAAGATAAATATAATAAAGGAGAATTGTTATGTTGAATCTTGATGACATCAGTCACGAACGCAATTAATTTCGAGTAGCGAATTCTCTCCAGAATATGCAAAAATGCATATACAGATTATTCTAAATATAAGTGTTATACAGTTAAAATGAATCTACTAAACCTTTATAGAATCTAAATCCAGGATGACATTTGACATCTGTCACATGTCGGTTGAAATAATATCGAGGAAACATATTTCTTAGTTTAAGAAACGATTTCGCCGAGAAAAAAGATATATAGAATGCCATTCCTAGTTCCTGAAATTTTAACAAATTTTAAATTTCTTTCTTCAAGAAAATGTAAGAAATCATTTCTTATTAACCATTATTTCTTATGTTAAGAATTTGATTTCTTGTTTTTTAAGAAACTTTCTTAAAACAAGAAAATCATACTTTTTTAAGAAAATTATTTGATATGAAGATGAAGAATATTGTCATATCTTGCTTAGTTATCTCACTAACTATGGTTTTGATGACGTTGGATGTTGGGTTAACCATCTAAAACTACTCTAAAATGATAGAGTATAATAACAATCCAAAATTGTTTGCAATGTTTTTGATCATTTCTAAATTTCAGACCGTAACCAGAAACAAAGTTGTGGAACCATATTGACTGCGTACTCTCAAGAGAAAAAATGCATATGCATATGCTCGATAATTGAAGATGGCGAATAGCTCAATTAAAATCTGTAATAGAGTGTAATATATAGTTTTAAGAGTTCTTTCAAATGAACTAAACTAATTTTTTATTGCCAATGTCATTTAATTAAAGTTTATGTTATTTAAATGAACATGTTTTAGGGAGAAGAAAGCAACGTGATACTGCTGTCACTGGTTCGCAGCAATCGAGATGAAAAGATCGGTTTCTTTGGACGTAGAAACCGGATATGCGTCGCAATTTCAAGAGCTCGATGTGCGTTATATATATTTGGAAATGGCAGTGTTTATTCTTCTTCACAAAATTGGAAGGTCAGGCTTATATCATTTTCTTTCTAGATTAAGTAATTTTTTAAACTAACATGCAGTGCAGTGCTAAAGGGCCGGTTATTCGAAAGCCAGTTAGCTTAATTCTGGGTTAACTATCAACGTCAAAGCAAACTTTCTCAAAATTGTTTATAAACTTAAAAATAAAATATTTTCTTACTAGAACAATGGAAGTTTGTTTTTTGAAGTTTGAAATGAACATAAGGGGTGGTGACTAAAAAAGTGGACAAAGTTCACGTATGGTTAATTTGCATAATAGCAAAACAAAGGCTTGGCCAAGAGTCTGGATTGAAGGCCTGGTCACCCAACTAAAAATGTTAACAGTAGTGATATTTCAGGTATATCACATAGATTATGGATGGTTTGACTTTAAAACAGAGAAAAAAATTGATTGTAAATTTCTACAAAGTTCATGGTGATGAAGGGCGTTGCTTACACTGTTAAACATTTTTCAAAATAATGGGTACCCTAACAACCAGAAGCACGTTGTACAAAATTTTAAACAGCTTTCAGGAAAGGAACACGATCAGGAAAGGAACACAACAGAAAGGAAGGTTGGAATTGATAGAAATTGACACCTCAGAAGACCAAGAGGCTGGTGAAAGCTGCAACGGACAAAAATGGTGTCTCCCAAGCAAAGCTGGCTCGAAAATTTGGCATACATAAGTCTTATCTACAGAAAGTGCTTAAGAAGGAAGGGTGCAAAAGCTACAAGAAGCAAAAAGTTCCTGACTGGTCTGAAGAGAAAGAATCAAGGCAGAAAAGATGCTGCAGAAAATTGACAAAAACGTAGATGAAACTATCGTCCAGTTTGAAAGTGGTCATGGATGACGAGTTGTATTTTACATTTGGTCATGATGAGGTGCCTGGAAATGACAGATTTTATACTAAAGATAATTATCAAGTTCCCACAAATGTTAAGTATTCGCAGAAGAAGTTTGAGCCAAAACTGCTTGTTTGGGTGGCCATCGGTGAGGAGGGCCACATTGAGCCATTCTTTGTGGGGCAACGTGAAAGGAAATGTTTACCGAGGTGTGTATCTTGCGCCGTTTAGTGCCATTCCTGCAACAGTATCATGCAGACGTCAGACGACGATTATGTGTTTTGGCCCGATCTAGCATCGTCACATTATGTGAAGGATACAGTTCCCTCTTTCTGACCAAAACATCCATTTTGTACCAAAAGATGAAAATCATCCCAATGTGCCACAAGTCCGACCAATCGGCAATTTTGGGTGTTTTTTTTTTTTCAAGTCCAAGGTGACGGCGGTTGGACAGCGAAAACAGGGCATCAGCTGAAGTTGCGTATCCGGAATTGTTTAAGAGAATTTGAGTGGACAGTGGTTCAGGACATGATGTCTACTATTAACACAAAGATCCGAAAAGCTGCTGACACATCACCTATTATGCTTTTGTAATTTTCTTGTGTGGAAAAACTAAATTGTTGAACATTCCAACAGTGCTATAGTGTCTTGATATCAGCTTACTGTTTCACCTTAGGCTTACGAAGTTTCTCCACTTTTTTAGTCACCACCAAACAAAAACAGCGAGTTAACCAGGTATACGCTAATCAAGTTTTTAAAAACCGGCTCCAACAATCAAAGTAAAAATTGAACGAGTGACTTGTGGTAGAAAGGTTACTCAAGAACTTTTCTATCTTTAAATTGGTGGTGGACACTAGGGGGGACCAGGGGGCACCCGAGCCAACCCCACCCCCACAATAAAAGACTGTAAAAATCTTGTACCAAGAAACACAAATCACACCCATATTATAACCTATATTAATTCTCATACTAAATAATGACTATTTGTGTTTTTATGTTAACGAAACAAAAGCGTGCTCAAGGAATAAATTTCACTCACTTAGCAAATAAATGTTTACATTGTCATTGGCGTGTTAAATTAAATCACCTTGTAATTCCATTCAGAAATGTAAATAATTATGTAAATATTTTCTCTGAAATGTTGGTTTTGTATTCTTTGCATGCATGTGATATATAACAAAATGCACCATTACAAAAGTGTTTTGAAAACCAAGAATTTTTTTTCAAAATGTGTTCTTAGAATGCTGCAAATGCCATTTCCAAGATCCAAATTTAAATATTTTCGGGGGGGGGGCATACCCTACACAATTCTTTTGCCTTCGGCAATATTTCATGAAGTGTCCTTCCCAAATATTTCATAAAGTGTCCACCACCCCTTTAACTCATCCTTATTACATTTGTTATCGTTTGTACGGATTCTATTTATTAGGATACGATGGATTTCTGATCCACTACGGAACGGGTTCCCGATCAAATAAATTTGCAGTGCATTGTTGTTTACGGCTGTTTTTCACGCCGTAATGTGTTTTTATTTGTCATGTATTTTCATATTATACTCTTGTGTCAAAACGCCTACAATTGATTCCGTATTTACTTGATTAATAAGTGATTTAATTATTCACTACAATTCAAATTTTTCTGATTTAAAATGTGTCTTTCACTGAGAGATAGAAGCAGTGTTAAAATGGTCAGGCCAAAAAAAAAATATATGGGTTTCCGGTTTCCCGACCCTACCTATCTTTTGGACGTCGAAATCCCGACCCTAAACTTTTCTATTGGATCGTGCTTGTAAGTGTTTCCACTTAGAGGAAAAAGTTTGTGGAAAATTGAAATTTGAGGAAATATTAGGGAAATTTATCTTTGGATGTGGAAGCACTGACTAAACAAAATGGCGTTCGCTTATTCGGAAAATTAAAAAAAAAAGTTTAAAAAAAAAAGTTAAAACCGACCTACCCTACCTAAGTTTTTATAAGAAACCGGAAACCCACATGTTTTTTTTTGTTGAATCGCGCCCAGTATCTCGGCTTTACGAGATAAAGAAAACCTTGTTAACAATTTGTGAAAGAAGTGTTTAACGGGTAGAAAAAATGAACGCCCAGTCATTATTTATTTAGCTTTGCGAGGTCACCACAACAGCATATGCATGTCAACTACTGTGGGCCCTTTTTACCTAACCCACCCTGTCAACTTTCCCAGTGGAAGCAAATCGGAGTACCCGGAGAAAGCCCACGACTATCTGCAGAGCGTTGACTTTTTACTCTTTTCACATGAGGACTGGGTTCGAGTCGCATTGAGAAAGTTACCACTGAGGCTTGAACCTTCGATATGAAAGGCCTTAGATATGAAAGGCAAGTGCGCTAACCACTTCGCATCATTTCATATTCTAGAAATCATTGTTTAACTATCGAGATGTCATGTACTGTAATAGACAAACTAGAAGAAATTAACGGTCTTTGCATTAAAACAGCAATACAACAAGTGATATCTTACTGTGAAGACCTCTCTCTGTTTTATTTTAATAGTAATTGTATACTGTACTTCATGAGTTTAACAATTAACACTTACAGCATTGACTGAGACCGAGAGAAACATACTATTTCCCAAAAGTCCTAGTCAATAAATATTTTATTATACAGCAAGTGCCTGACGTGAGAAAAACAAGAAAAAAATCCAGAAACGAGAAAGTTATACATAATTATTGCTAGACGATTTTAATTATCAGTAGTGCATGAATGTATTCTCCATCTATCAGACTTTTTGCCACTGGCATTTAATGACTTTCAATCTTTCATATGATACGCTCTTGTCCGATGAGATGCAAGATAATATGGACTTTGACATTTTGTATATATAATAAATTATTTGTTCCCTAATGTAGCGTCGCAAAGTGAAACGAGATATGAAATTGACTACGAAACTGAATAACTAATGATATCATTTCTTCAATGTGTAGAAAATTATAAAGTTTTTGGAGGATAAAGGCTTGGTTGGCTGGACGTTTCCATTCAAAGAGGAGTCTGACGGGGTGAGATAAAATTGCTTAACCACTCAATTTTGTAGTTACAACAGGCATATTCGTAGAACAGTTCAATTTTCACCTATAAATAGAATTAACTTGTACTGTTAGAAAGACCTGGAAAATAGTGAGCGCGGCTAGAACATCCATTTGGATAAACCACTGGTTAACCCACTCATTCATTGCTTAACCACTTCCGAAATGTCAAACGCTCTAGTCCTGCTGCAATTTTCTACTGGTCGCAATCGGTTCTGGTATTTCAATTGCTGATACGAAATAAGGACTGGATAAAGCATACTATTGAATTCAGTAATCCGATTTTGAAGCCAGAATATTTGAATGAGATGAGATTTATAAATCATGACCAGTCTAATCGTTTGCTGTTTAAGTTCAGTTAGACTACATATAAAAGCATTAGAGAGGCTACTGATTATGAAGTCAGTAGCCTCATAGAGAGGCCACTGATGATCAATTCGTATCTAGATAATATTTGTCCTTTCCCACTAGTGACTAGAAACATAAAGGAAGTCGGAGTTAAACATGTCCACAAGACCAGACTAGATTTATGGTGGGGCCATCCAATATGGCTTCCATTGGCTTCACTTATGCACAGCAGATGCGCTATCCAGTCCTTGAATTTCAAATCCGTGATTTCAATACAGATCTGATATCAACAATTTGATGTTTCGAATTGAAAATTCAATGCCTGGTTCCAGGTCTTGAATTTGACATTCCAGACTGGAAGACACGCACAATACTATATGAGAGAAATTAAAGGCGAAATGACTTCACCAAACTGAATTATATATAACACGTCCAAATTTAGACTACGTTCACACTATGCCGAAGCAGTTTGAAAACGGCGCAGATAAGTCAGAATTTGCCGTCGCGTTCACACTACGTTGGAGCGAAATTATTTGAAAACCTCACTTTTGCCATAACTATTTGAGCACGGTTTCTATATAAATGGACAAGATGAAAACGGACAAGATGAAAACGGACAGGATGAAAACGGAACGATTGGCGGTTTCGTGTGAACACAAATTCCACTACTTTTTTGTACAGCTTTGCAAAACAAAACTGTTAAATCGAAATCCTTTGAAATCAAATTTCTTTGCTTTAATTGAAATATTTGAACGTCGTTCGTTTACGTTTCCTAATTATTTAGAGAAATTTTAAGTGTATTTTGTTATCATAGTGTAAAAAGACTTGTAATTAACGCCTTTTGTTGTTTGTAATGTCTGCTATTCTTGTCTTAGGCCTAATTAACGTAGTTTTGTAAATTTTAGTGAGTTCGATCAATTAAAGCTTATATTATTACCGTAAAACCCTAGACACTGTAGTGATTTCCTTTCTCTTTTCCTCATGCATGTATTAATGAGTTTTTGAAATATAAGTAATTAATTAATTTGCATTTTTATTTCAGATTACCACAGTAAAAGGTAAGTTATTTTGGACTTGTTAGCAATAGGGTCTGTTTACATGCCGGTTTGCTGGGACGATATCGAAGGCATCGTGATTTTGGTGCATTGAAGTAAATTCACTGGGAACTTAAATGTTGTCGAGATGATCTCGTACTTCAAGAAGATTATTATTGCTGCTTAAACAACCGTTCGTTTCTTATTTTTCTGTATATCACTGAAAATAATGTAATTTTTCTGAATCGTGCACCGTAACATATTTCAATACGTCAAATTCACCCCGCCGCGCATCTTGTCCCAGTAAAACGGGATCATGCGTAAACAGCTCTTTAAACATGCAAAGTGCTTATGGCTTTTTTACTCCTTGTCAATGCATACATCATTATATTGCTATGATGCATTTTAGATGAAGAACCGTTTTCTGACACAACGAAACTTTCTCATGCGGAACTTACTCGATTGGGTGGAAGGATCGTCCCAAAATGGAAAGAAATTGCGGGATATGCTAACTTGGATGTAGGTGAAGTAGAAAACGTCGACCGAAATAACGTTAAATACCTAGAGCCAAAGGAAAAGGCCAGCCAAATTTTAGCTATGATCAGCAACAAACACGACTTCAGCCGCAAAGAACTTGGAAGTCATTTAGATGAGGCAAAATTATGTAGCCTGGTGGATCTAGTACTAAAGGGAACATTACGACATCCTCCCGATGACGACGCCGGTTCGTCAATTACTTCACCAAATGAATCTATCGAAAGTTAGATTGTTTTCGGTAGATGTTTTAATAATGCAATAGTGATTTAAGGATGCAATAGTGATTTGAACCCTACATGCACTTGATTAGAAAACAGAACATTTTCTACATCTGCATGTATATGAATTTCCGCATGCAGCTGTTGTTAGTTTAGAAATGAAGAACATCTGACACGTAGAAAACAATAACTAAGGAGTTCAGAATTTTTAGAAATTTAATCCCAAATATCCATACAGCTGATATTTTAGATTTAATGTAATTTAGCTTAAAATTCAGGTCGGTGTTCCCCCATTTTATATTAAAAAATGTTTTCGTTTAGTAATCCGAATTATTTTCGTGTTTTCAAAAGAATTTCTGCGATGCCAAAAAAATATTTCAAATTATCACAAAGATTGGCTCAGGAAGGCAAAATTAATTTGTAAGCAGTTATTCAATAATGGAGCACTGATCAAAATTTATTTATTTCTTATATATTTATTAATTACAATACCCTGGTTCCGCAGGCTCTTCGCGAGGCGAAATAAACGAGACGCGAGAACGGAGAGCCTCTGGTCACATCGGTTGCAAATCCCACTTGCACACTTGATTAGGTTCAGAATTTGAATATCGCATGTGAGTGGCCATTTGTAAAAATATGTCACACCGGTTTGAGAAAACACATTACTGTAAGCTAATTATAGCTATAAAAGCTACAATTAGCTTGTTTATTTTCCAAACCGGTTTGACATATTTTTACAAATTGCTGATCACATGCGAGATTCAAATTCTGAACGTAATCAAGGATCTTGTCTATAAAAGTACACACGAGTGACCACGAATGACCACGAGTAATTTCTGTGTTTAAAAATCATAAAATAATAAAAACTATTTTAAGGTGGCTCCCTGAGGTTATTGCATTATACTGCACTATAGTATCCAGAAAACGCCTGTTTCTTCACTTTATATAACATGAAGACGAAATTTATTGGACACATTGACAATGCTCTCCTGAACATTGCAATGTGCTACTTTTGTGCCGAAGTCCGCTACCATGGCAACACCGTGCTTAGGATAAGGCTCAAATTTTTTTAGTTTTCACGTCAGTCTACAGGAACGTAGCAAAGCATCTGAAGTTGGGGGGGGGGGGTTGTCGGAGGATTTTTGAATTTTTAATTAATAAATATTTACCTAAAGTGTAATAATTATAAAAAAGCTTTTTGTGATTGACTTGCACTATCATACTAAGTTTCGGGAGAAAACGGGGGTT